ACTTTTATAGCATTTCGTAAAATTCGTAAGACGATTAATTTTTTAATCATCTTATCTTGCTCACGTGAAATTTGAAACGTTTATTCAAAAAGAAATTTGATTTTTATTAGTTACTTCGCTTAAAAACTAAAAAAACTCGTATTAATATGTCAAAATGGCTTCTAATAAAAGTTGGTGGAACACTTGATCTCACTTGATCTCCAACGTATATATGAAAGTTAAGCATTTTAGGCAGCTTTGATTACTGCGTCTTATTTAGATAAAAATTTCTATAAACTAATTGAAAAACTTGTGTAACAATACTTTTTAATATAAAATAAATAGCCAATCAAAACGAACTTCCATTATGCTGGGGACATGTCCATTGACTTATAAAGTAATTTTATTGTGAACAGAATTTACTAAGTAAAATTTACCAACTTACAGGGCCCGTTTTGATTAATATACTATCTTATAAAATTGAACCGTAAACCAATAAAAAATTTGTAATATAATCAATCAATCACATTCAAATACCCAAAAAAATAACAGCAAATAAGTATGAACATGAGATGTTATTACTACAAGATCATATCTATAATTCTCTGAAAACGAATACTATTTAGTAAATACAGGGCAATCTAAATGAAGTCTATTGTCTTTATCCCTAAAATTAAACGGATACAGATAATTAAAATTCCTATTTAAATTCCTATTTAAATGAACAAAAAACAAATAAAAAAAACAAATCAGTATAGATCAGTGGACTAATAAAAATTTTATATTAATGAATCAATTTGCATACCCAATCCGCATCAACTATGTCAATAGCCCACTTGAATTTGTCACGTAAGCTCTTATTGAAAATCTTCTCATAAGGCACTTTGTATTTTAAACACCAAGCGGCAGAAATACGAGGGTCAATGTAATTGATCTTGGATGTACCTAATGCAGTAGTCTTATTTGATTCTTTGTCATCCTTTAAAAGTTTTGTCTCTTTGATTTTTGCATTCAAAGTTTGAATTTTTTCTTCCGCTTTCTCCACAGTTAAGCCTTTTTTAGGTTCGACTTTACCAGAAATGCGTTCTCTTTCCAGTTCTTTCTCCTTTTGATCAACTTCTTGAAGCAAAGCTTTCAATTCTTTCTCAGACTTTGGCTTTTGTTTTTCTTCTTTTAATTTTTCATTGTCTTTTTCGAATTTTTTACGAACTTTCTCACGTTCTTTCTCCATCAATTGTCTTTCATATTCAATAATCCATTCTTCATCAAGATCAGATTCTTCCTCAAGAAGTTCGGGTCGTTTCTTTCTTAACTTTGGTTCCAAGGCTAATATGGCTTTTTTAAGTTTCATTCGTTGATATTTGAAAGCTTTTATCTAATATCGAATAAAAAATATTATTATTTATTAAACCAATTATATAAAATTTTTTTTCTTAAAACTTTACCTTATCCTCAATCTTGCTCATTTGATTTCCATGAGCTTTACTAACAGAACGTTGATGATTGCAAAGAATAGCGACTTGACGATTTGCTTGATTATAAGCGAATATCTTTTCGGCTATTGAACTTTCTTCTTTAGTTAATTCATTTAACTGTGTCTGAAAAGTGTGCGACGCATTATACGTACGAAACACTTTTGCTGTAAGTCCTTTCATATATGAAGACAGATGCTTATTTAAATCCTGAGTCTAAAAATAAAATTTATGGATTATAAGCTGCAAATTATGGAGTGTAACTTAATGTAAAAATTGTAATAAAACCAACTCACATTTACTCGATCAAATATTAGGTCTTCTGGTTCATCCTTTCCTTTCATGAATATTGCAAGATTTTTGAAAACTTGGTCTTCAACCTCTACAGTGTTGATATATCTAATAGAATCTTTACCCAAGAAATCAAATCTAACTGTGTTTGGAGGGATGAGTGTTACATGTTCAGGACGAAGGGAGCAACATCCAACGGTATCAGCTTCTTCATTAATGTCTTTTTCATTACCAGCTCTGAGAGCCAGACGATCAATCAGATACATAGCTGTAGCCATTTGGCGTGTAGCAGTGTTCTTATGTCGGAGATTTGCTTGATAATCGTTCCGAATCTTACCGATGTGTTTCTAAATGTAAATGACGGAATTGAAATAAAATTTCAAAATGTGATTAATAATAAATGTGATAAATGCCAGACTTAGAAAATTTTGCTCACCTTTAACTCCCGTGCTTTTTCGAATTTTTTCATGTCGCTTAGACCCTTTAAAGAGCTATTAGCAGCCAAGAAAACATATTTAATGTTATCATTGACATTCTCCTTCCAGGTCGCTAACCAAGTAACTGTGGGATCATGGATGACACCTGCCCATTTATGACCCTCTGGTGGTGATGGAATTTTGGCACCTTTACCAATATTAATTGTTACCTGTTCGGGCAGAACTCGAAACTAACATAATATAGGAAATGAAATTAACAATTGTATAAATCTTGAAATTGGATGACAGTATATAAAATTTATACCACCCTTACCTTCAAAGATCCGGTTTTAGGATGTGCACCGCGCCCTCTGAATAAACCAGGCGGCTCAATACGAAAATTGCCAACTTTCTCTTTACGTCCATCTAACAAACAATATCCGTATTTTTCTTCCAATTTTATTTTTTCTTCTTTTAACTTTGCCTTTTCCTCTTTTGACATATTTTTTTTTCGTTCTTTTTCTTGTTCAAAATAGTCAAAAATCGGGGTGAAATCACATTTTTCAAAATCTTTGATTGGGGGATTCTGAAAATATATATATTCATATATATTAATATTTTTAAATCCATGCTGATGAAAGCCAACAATAAATTTAATATACAATTTACATTCTTAGATTTCTTTAAGACTTTTTGCCAGTCCTTAAAGAAATTTTTATTAAATGTCTCGTTAGTGACGTAATCTGTACCCAACATAGCAGCATAGAAGCTGGCCACTTCCTCAGCTTCAGGTTCAAGAGTAATCTCCTTGCCTATTAGTTCGTCAAGTCGCAGAAGATTCATGACTAACTTGAAAAGAATTATTGTAAATGCTTAACTATGCTAAACGCACTACTCACCATCATATTTCATTTTGACGTTATGAGGAACATACGGCGGAGGGAAGTATACGCCATTGTGTTCCAATGTAGTCCATTTATCGCTTCCGTCATTGTTATCATTTTGTTGATTCCACCATTTAAATTCTTCATCATCTTCATTATCGGAATCTTCTTCCTTTACTTTTTGTTTCCCTCGTTTCTTTGAAGACATACTTTCTTCTGGTGAATCTTCCTTTTTCTTTTTGCGTTGTGTGTCGGACTTTTTGGCATTTGTTACATTTTTGGAAATAGTCTTAATAATTGGTTTTTTAATATCAACTTCGAAGTCTGAATCATTTCGTTTTCTTTTGGCCTTCAAATTATTACGATATGCAGGTTTATGGTTAAATTTTTTAAATGACTAAATATACGCAATGCTACAGTTCTGATATATGTTTTTTTTATTATCGGTTATATACCTTTCCTTCCTTTCCTTGTGATTTTACCTCTTCCTTAACTTCAGTTCCTTTGTTGGTGCTTGTTTTTGCCTTATTCGCAGTTTTACCCTTTCCAGACATTAATTTAGCCAGTGGGACATCACTCTCTGAATCTTCCGATTCTTCTTTAATTATAGCCGTTTTTCTTCCATTTGTTTTTCCCTTTTTTTTAACAATTGGAATGTCTTCATCAGATACGGGTACTTTCATATCGATATCCTCCGTAGTTCGAGAAGCTATAGCTTTTTTAATTGATTTTTTGGAACCATTCTTTGCTGCTGTATTCTTGCCGTCATATTCCGAGTCGCTGGAGTCTACCCTCTTCCTTTTTGCCTTTTTGCTATCTCCCTATATAATCATATGGTCATTTAAAATTACAGAAACTAGAAAATAATAACTTTTATAAATATTAGTTATACCTGTTCCTTCGTCGAAGAACTTGAAGATTTGCCCTTATCCAAAGTATTAGCTTCCGATTTTGAACCTTTCGCTTTCAGCTGTGCAAGTGGCACGTCACTATCAGATCCCGAAATGTTTTCAGATTCAGAGGCCACTATACGAATTTTCCTGCGGCCGGGTACTTTCGAATGATCGTCAGAATCGGATTTCTCCTCTTGTTTCACAGCCGTCTTTTGTCCATTTGTTGTGCCTCTTTTTTTTCCATTTAGTGTAGACTTCCTGCGAGCGAGAGGAACATCACTTTCGGATCCTGTAGACTCTGCGTCTTCCATTTTGACATCCGGCTCCTCTTTAACTTTGCTTTTGTTTCCGCTTTTGTTTCCGCTTTTTTTAGCAGAAAATTTTCCATTTTGTGCGATGGTTGAAGCATTTTTTACCGTCATCCTACCCATCTTTCGCAAATATTCACTCACCTAATTCCGTAAAAATAAATAATTTTATAGTTCAAAGTTGTCGAAAAAGGAAAATTTTCGTGATTCTTTGAATGTCGTCTCGACTCCCCGTTTACTGTTTATATCTATGATTTTACCCCTGATTGATATTAACTGAAGATTTCGAAAAAAAAATTGGGCAGTTTTACCGTTAAAGCCTTATGATGTATAAATGTAGATTAACTGATCACCACAGTGAATGAAAAATCTATGATTCTATGTGCACAATGTGCACACACGTGCAATAAGGTTAACATTATAAGGTTAACATTATATACAGATAATGATAAATTATTTTTAGCAAATAGTATACGTACTCGCATTATTAGGGCTTAAAAATTAGTGTGACCTAAGTCGATCGTTTATAACAGATAATGTATAAAAAATATATATATATCCCGAATGTTTCCGATACTCTTCTTTGATGAGCTGTGAATTTATTCTTTGATGTTTAAAAAATTGTGTTGCTAATTTGATAGTTTTGTTAGTATTATTGATCAAAATTTGACACGTTAAAGCTTACATCTGCATATAATTATCTAATACGTATATACTAATTTAGCAAAGTTTATACTGTATAGGGACTGGACTCGTGATAACTCGTGACTCACGAATTAAACTCGGAAGAGTATCGAATATATTCGAATCATGTGATCGTATTATTTTTTCGAGTTTTATTCGAATTACTCGATTCAGAAAAGTTTATTTATTATAAATGTATTTTAAAAATATACTTTATTTATAAAAGCAAATATCTCAAATTACAAGTTGCAAAGCAAATATATAGCATATTAATTATTTATAAAAGCAAATATCTCAAATTACAAGTTGCAAAGCAAATATATAGCATATTAATTATTTATTATCTGGAAATATTGAATCGAATAAATCCATATTTCTCTTTAAAAATAATATTCCACTCACTAATTCCGGATCAAGATTTGTGTGATTTGGTGTAATATTGTTTCCAACATCTGAAAATAACTGTTCAGATGAGAATGAAGTTGCTGATATACACAAATTCTTCCATACAATTTTTGATAATATAGGAAACTGTGCTTTTTTAAGGTTTTACTATTGAAAGGATTTATCAGTCTTTCCTTCTCTTCCAAAGCTAAGTAATCATCAATTTCACTAATTTTATCATTGTCATTAGCATATAAATCTAATAAAATTGATTTTTGTTTTTTTTTGAATTTTACTAGTTTCTAAATCATCATTTTGAATATTTAACAAGGATATCAGATGTTTAGAAATTGAGTAAATTTCACATTTTAACTTATACAATTCTTTTAAGTATTCTTTAATCTTTATAATCACGTTGGTATTTGCAAAACATAGCTTTTTAAACTGTGAATCAAGTAAATATATCAACATGTCAATATTTGTAACAGAATCTCAATAATAATGCATATTATTATACAATACTTTTTTAATCTTTTTTAATATTCCAGTTATAATTATTGGAACTGAAATATTAATTTTTTTATATACAATTCCTAATATAAAAATAAATTTTTTAAACTTAATAACATCTTTTATATCATCTATAATTTCTTTCATAGAATCAAGAATTATTAATTCACTTATGTCTGTTGAATCTAATTCAATATAAGATTATTTAAGTGAAAGTTTTAAAGTTTTAACTAAGGTAAAAATTGCTGAATACATTAAAGAAATTATAACATAAAGTATTTTTACTTAGTAACACTATAATTTCTTCAAACTTACACAATATATTATTTATTTTATCTAAAAAAATCTATTTATTGTCACGGCTGATGCTGGAAACGGCTGAAGCTGGAAATCAGGGACCCTGATTTAAAAATATAAACCCTGCCAAAAT